TGTGGAGTCTGGTGAGCAAAAGTTCCACTTTCTGAGCTACTGGCATTGAAGTTGTGAACGAGCGATTTGGCTACTGCCTAAATTAGTTTGCTCTGGTGCCATCCTGAGCGGAGACAAAAATGTGTGAGTTGGAGGCTATAAAACTGTGAGCTGGCTCACACTAACTCAGCTTAGAGGGAACACTGCCCCCCCAGCATATTGTAGAGACCAATTCGAGTCACTCCCTGAGCTCCGATAGAACCCACAGAGTCAGGAGTGAAGGCCAATTTTGCCCCCTCTGCAGTGCACCCGAATGCAACACCTCTCCCCTCCCCCAACACGAATTGCACCCCTTTTGTATATAGAAGGAAGGGGCGTCCCTCAGAGACAGCATTTAGGTAGACTGAACCGGATTTGGTTCAAGGTGCTGGCTCTTGCCTTTAAAGCCCTATATGTTCAGGGACCTACTTACCTAAGGGACCGCCTTTCCCCATACATTCCCCAGAGAGCAATAAGATCGGGGTCCCAAATCCATCTGGCTCTCTCGGGCCTAAAGAAGCCAGGCTAGCTGTGACGAGGGCCGGGGCCTTTTCAGTGGCGGCTCCACACTGGTAGAATGAGCTCCCGGATTACATCAGGGCCCTGTGGGACCTTTTTACAGTTCCACAGGGCCCGTAAGACGGAGCTCTTCCACCAGGCTTTCGATTAGGGGGCCGCCTTTTAATAGCGTGGGCCTGGCCCTCCAACATCAGCACTAGCTTAACAACTAACAGCCTGGCAAGAACCCGGGAGTTTGGTGGTAACTGACCACTGAATGCTGAGAGAACGCCGCCATCTTTTATGAATATCTATGTTCCTTGAAATCAAAATTTTATATGCCATGGTTTTTAATTTAACTTTTGTGTCTTAACATATCTTCTTGTTTTAATATTTATATACTGTACGCCATCCTGAGCCTGCCACGGCAGTGAGGACGGGGTACAGATTAAATAAATAGAATAAAAATAAATAAATACATTGAATGTGCCCAACTGCCCCTGGCAGAACTATTTAATGAGAAACGGTAATTCCCGCTCTCTTGGGTGTTATCTATGTTCGAGAGAGATGGGCCTGTCTATCCTCACTTACACATAATAGGCAGAATGCAGAGTGGGATGTCTGCCTTATTAATGCATACAATGAACTGTTTTTTTTCAGTAGACACCTGTATTGCATTGCAAGAAATGGGGTTGGCAGGTACTCCTGGCCACCAGTGAGGGATGGGGGGGCGGGAAAGTTGTCCAGATCCAGGTTTGGGAAACTCCTGGAGATTTGGGGATGGAGCCTGGGGAAGACAGAGACCCCAGTAGGGTACAAGGCCACAGAGTCCACCCTCTGAAGCATCCATTTTCTCCAGGGAAACTGATCTCTGTAGTCTGCAGATGAGCTGTAATTCCAGGGGATCCCCAGGGTTTCCCTATTTCAGATGTAGTTTGCGGATTCTTATAAAAATAAAACACACACTCCTGTACATGCAGTTCCGAAGTGTAAATTGCCTTTATGGAGCACACTACCATAGAAAAGTTCATCACAGAGGGTGGGAAAGAATAATTATTGACTACTACTAGATTGATATTTTATGTGGAATTAAATTCAGATTTTATGTCTTCCAGGACTCACCACAAACCAGGGAAACGGAATTACACTGGGATCCTGGCATTGTCCATAACGCACAAGTGACTTAAGTGGATTGATCGCTGCTGTTTGGAACTGTACAACTTATAAGTGGTTTTAATATTTATATGATTGAGATATTTACGTTCCTTCATTCTAAATGTTTGTTTTGAACATATGATTATGGGCATTAGTTGTAGGGTCATCTCCTATGCATGATTGATACATACATTTACAATACAAATATTCAGTAATGCCAATGACTATAATTGTTTTCTCTAGTTTAATTAATTAGGTGTATACATGTGTGTGTGTGCGTGTGTGTCACATTATCAAAATGGTTGCCTGACGTGATTTCCATTTAAGAAATAAGATATGAGTGAACTTCTAGGGTTTTGTTGTTTTTTTAAAAAAACCCGCTCTTTAAATATTTTAAACACTCATTAGCCGCCTTTCTTCCTTATGGAGCTCAAGACGGCTTAGAATATAGATAAAACCAGGGCCTTTTTTCTGGGGGAGCGCACTGGAACAGAGTTCCAGAACTTCTCTGACAAAATTATTTTAAAAATGTGTAAAGGTTCATGAGGAGCTGCGGTGGCTCAAGTGGTTAAGACGCTGAACTGCAGGCTGTGGAAGGTCAGTAGTTCAGCAGTTCGAGACCCGGGTGCCGCATGACGGAGTGAGCTCCCGTCTCTGGTCCGAGCTCCTGCCAACCTAGCAGTTCGAAAGCAAGAAATTGTAAGTAGATAAATAGGTACCACTTCGGTGGGAAGGGAACAGCGTTCCGTGCACCTTGGTGTTTAGTCATGCCGGCCACAGGACCACGGAAACGTCTTCGGACAGCGCTGGCTCTTCGGCTTTGAAACGGAGATGAGCACCGCAACCCTAGAGTCGGATTCAACTGGTTTTTGAGGAAGGGAACCTTTACCTTTACCTTTTTTTAAAGGTTCATGAGTTTTCAGTATACAGATTGAAAACTTCATTTTCCTCTCGAGAGCTCTACGGGCAATTGAGATTAGCATGCACAGTGGAGCGCCTGAATTTTGGCCAGCACGTTTAGGGTCAGGTTCTAATCAGTTTGTGCTTAACAGGATTTGTGCTTAACAGGATTCAGGAGTGAGCTGAATTGGGTCGTATCCCCCCCCCCATTAAGTCACTAGTTCAAAGCAGCTATGTAATAAAAAGGAACAGGTTTCCTTGGCTATGCTGTGAAGGTCTTCTTCTCCATTCTCTTTAAAGGCTGCTATGTCTAATCAGGAATTTCAGCTCCACGAGGGAGAGCAGGAGCACGGCAAACCAGACAGTCCATTTTTCATTAATTTAGAAAAAAATGAACTAATTGAAACCCCATCCAGGTAAGAGAATTTTAAAGAAAAACAAAAGCGATTATGTTTTCATTAACATAACCTAATCTGACAATTTAGCAAATGTGAGAGAGTGGGATATGGACATCGAGCCAGATTAGAGGCTGTGGTAGACTTTGACGGTTGCCATATTGCAGAAGTAGAGATTTGTAGCAGACCTTGGTAGGGGCTGCGGTGGCTCCAGTGGTTAAGATGCTGAATTGCAGACAAGAAGGTCGGTAGTTCAGCAGTTCGAGAGCCGAGTGCCGTGTGACAGAGTGAGATCCCGTCTCTGGCCCCGGCTCCTGCCAACTTAGCAGTTCGAAAGCAAGAAATTGCAAGTAGATAAATAGGTACCGGCGTACCGCTTTGGTGGGAAGGTAACAGTGTTCCGTGCACCTTGGCATCTAGTCAATGCCGGCCACATGACCACGGAAATGTCTTTGGACAGCGCTGGCTCTTCGACTTGGTAACAGAGATGAGCACCACATCCCTAGAGTCGGATTTGACTGGCTTTCGAGCAAGGGAAACCTTTACCTTTACCCTTTATCTTGGTATTAACTGGATAACTGGAAGATAAAGGTCAACGAAATGGAAGCTTGACACCAACATTTTTCAAACATATTCATACGTTGTGGAGCACAGCTTCAGGGAACTAGAAAGTGACCTTTTTCTCAAGTCAAATATATGGAGAATGTGTAGAACCATTTTCCCCCAGAGAGCTCTCTCTTCCCCCAAATAACTCTCTCTTACCTATTCTGCTTTGAGCTCAAAGTCAGATATTAGGACATTTCAAATAATGTTATTTAAACTGTTTTTGTAATCTAGGAGAGAACATCCAAATGCACATGTGCTTAGTTCAAATGTGAATACACCCGGGCCGAAGAGCGACACCTCAAATTATTTTATAGCCCTGGATTCAACTACTGAGAGTCTGCAAGAAAGAACTCAACAATTAATTGACAAGATTAATGAAAACCGGAAGAAGGACCACATGCTGATGAACAATTTCAGAGAAAGCCTTCTGATGAAGGTACAGATATTTAAGAGATACTGGAATGCAGGAATTCGAAGAAATAGGGAAGAATTGTTTAGTTCGACCTTTGTTTCAGAGGGTAGCCATGTATTGGTCTGCAGTAAAATAGTTAGATTTGAGTTCAGTAACACCTTAGAGACCAGCAGGGGTCATTTCCTGCAGGAGTGCACAGGAGCGGAGCTCTGGCAGTAAAGAGTCCAGGGGGCGGGCACATGCAACAAGCCCCACCCCCTGCTCCCAGCAGCCCTCAGTTAGAGCAAGAAGCAGCTAAGTAAGTTGCAGAGCCCCCCCCCACCTTCAGGTACAAACTCTCCCTCCTCTGTGAGGACAGATCTGCACACTCTGCACAATAGCTAGCAATCCAAAACAGTCCAGTGGAGCCTGAGCAGTGTGTGTTGCCTTCTGACACACTTCCGGTGATGTCAGGGGGTGTGGCATATGCAAACAAGTTATGCTAATGAGTTATGCTAATGAGCGCCTGGACCTCTTTTTCTACAAAATGACCCCTGGAGACCAGCAAGATTTGAGGGGGAAGGGTATGAGCGTTCGAGAGTCAAAGGTCCCGAGTTTAACCTTACATCTTTATTTATTTATTACACACTTAAGCTCCAACGTACACAGTTATTAGTCTACCAAAAAATCACTGGACTTTCTGCTGCATTTAACCAAGTGCCATCAATTAACACCAGGGTCCTGAAACACCAATGCACCGACAATTTACTTGGCTTGGGCTGAGAACACAGCCATTTAAAAGAAAGGGCTGTTTCCACATGGATATTTTGCTCTGCCTTAGCTTCCTTACAGCACTGTGATTTTGGGAAGCACCCACATGACCTCGTCTCTATTCATCCTGCCTTTACTGTAATCTTTCCCAAACCTGGTTTGGTACGATCTTCTTGGAAAGACTGTGCTGTGTGTAGGTTCACATTTTTGCAGGCCCTTCCCACATCTGTACGCTGAGGGCTTTTCCCAAGCTTATTTAAACAAATCAGTAGCTGATTTATCACTATAGCGCAATAGAGCACTATATTACCGCAATGTGCTAGTTCCCAACTTGCATTCTTCCAGAAAGTCAGTCTCCAGCCCTTTTCATTGCAGAATTATAAGGGGAAAGGTGCAGGGTGCACATTTTTTCTTATAAATCAACAATAAAAGGGCTACTTTTTAAAAACCTGGGAGACGGGGTAAAAGACTGTTATAGCATTATAAAATGGCGATCTAACCATTCCTGATTTTTTAAAAACCCTGTGGGTAGAGTAGAGAGAAATGGTGGCCATAGGGTGATAAGAAAAAGGAGAAAACTGCTCTGCAGATGCTCTTTTGCCACTGTGAACACCTCTGCATTCACAGCGGCTGCAAGAGCTACACGGTAATTGTTTCTATAAAAGCAAGCTGTTACTTAATTGTTAGCTCTTTGTTGACAGTTTTTGTAGGAATCCCTAGTTCATTTTAATTCCTGAAGAGTTTCTCTTTCTCCCCAAAAGGTTTCAGCTTTGGCAGAGAAGCTGGAGGAAAGGGTGTTTCTGGCTTACGATCATAACAACAAGATCATTCAGGATAAGGTTCAAGAGTTTTCCGACGTCATGGGAAGAATCAAGCAAATCGAAGCGGAGCTCAAGCAGGTCTGCCACACCGTGGAGATGCTGTATAAAGACCTGTGCATTTAATCTGAACTGTGACTGCACAGAGAAAGAGAAAAATAAAGCGGACGGGAAGCGTTTATTGAAAGCAGGAGAAAAACTGAACCCATTGGATGTTTTGGTAAGCAAACAGGAGACATACCTAAAGATGTTTGGGGGGAAATGAAGCTGTACCAGACTGCCCCAGTCTTCTATTGATACGCAGCCCCTGAAAGTATTTCAAGGACATTTGTTCATTATTATTTGCTTGTACACGTCGGGAGTTAACTTCTTGTAACAAATTCCAATTATATTTGTGTGAGGCTTCACACTCTGGTTTCTGTACAGACAGTGGCTATTGCTGGCGTAAATGCTGTGGCCCTACACAGCAAGCAGCACAAGCATAGAAACGATTGTAAAACACGTTGACGAGGACACGGCAAGGTCACGGGGACACACACTCCTGTGACACCACCAGACCTGTTCTCCTTTTTAGGACTAGTCATCAGGGAAGCAAAGGTGGGCAGGGTGGCATGGCTTCCGGGTCCAGTGGTAGCATGCTTGCGATGGCACAGCTGGGAAACCCTTTGTCATTTTTCCTGGAGGTTTTGGGACACTGCTATTGGTCCTGGGATGAACGCAAAGATGAACGAAGCCACTGCCTTTACGGTTGCCACCCAGAGATGACTGGATGAAGATTTAGGATTGGTATTCTCCCAAGTGACCTGGTACAGCCACAGTCAGGAGTGCCAATGTCTTGTCAGGGCCAGTGATTCAACTCACGTTAACATTCCACGAGACCACTTCAAGTTGAAATGAATATTCACAATTATTTCAAATTTGGTAAACATTAAAACTTCGTTTTGTGTTTTGAAGATTAAATTTCAAACTTGTATTTGAGTGTGAAATTTTACCCTAGATACAGAAACAAAAAGATTTAGATGTTTTGATTTTCACAGACATCAAACATGAGCTATCATGATATGTCAGCTACCAAATGCTATCACGTTGTTGTTGCTCAGTCGCACAGTCCAGT